CGAAAGAGAGAGAGGGAGGGGGTGGGCTTAGGGAATGAAAAAATGGGATTTGATAGAAGAGCGGAGAGAGTGGGGAAGAGAATGACAAGGGGAAAAAAGAGAGAACAGTAGGCAGAAAAAGAAGGAAGAATGACTGGGAAGGGTGAACAAAATAGAAGTTAGCAGTTATGAGACCTTGTTATATGGAAAGAATGTTAAATATAGAAGCGAATTTGTTTCCTATGAGATCACAATTTTGACGATACTGATTTTTGATTCGCTCCAGTTTGATGCCAACAGCAATTTTTCGAGCTAAAAGAAGTTATTTAAGTCATCTGGAACGTATTGTCTTATTTGTATTTGATTGTATAAAATGCATTTACGCATATGTGTGTATTGTTGAGTATGTGTGTGTATGTGTTTGTGTGTGTGCATTTGTGTGTGTGTGTGTGTGTGTGTGTGTGTGTGTGTGTGTGTGTGTGTGTGTGTGTGTGTGCGTGTGTGTGTGTGTGTGTTTAAAAGTAACTATCTACTGCGTCAAGACATTTTACCTTAATTTAACAACTCAGCTCTCTACACACAGAAAGCTAGAACCTAAGAAGAAGAGCAAAAGCAAAAGAATCTGATTTGTTCCAATCTTTAATCATGAGAAGTTTTATCAAATGATGGCTGAATATAAAATGCAAATATAGAGCCATTCATTCAGTTTTACTGTCAAGATTCTTGCATTCCTGTCGACCTGAAATCCCTGTCTGGTATCGATTTCATTTCCCGTCTAGTTATTGAATACTGCCCTTGCAGAATTGACTTCTCACACCCCTACCCCCCTCCCCCTCCTGCCCCTTCTTTTGCAATCACAATTTAAAAAAACACATGGGCACGAGTAAGAACACAATTAAATGAAATACAAAACTTCCAGAATGCTGTGAAAGACATGAAACTGAAGAGATGAAATTTTATAATAAAATATTTCAACATAATGCGACTATATGCACTTACGCTTCCTCTGTTCCTCTTTGTGAACACTAGCCCTTGTTGCAGTCCAGCGGTGGGTTCACTTTCAAGAGAAAGTGTGGAAATTAAACTAGAATAAGAAACTCGCACACCAAATACTTTTTAAAACAACCCCACACTGACGTAAGTGGAGGAAAATATATTGTCCCGGAAAGAGGGTGATTGATTTTACAAAACAGTACACTACGCCAAAAGTAGGCTGAAAAATATGTAGGCCTTAGCTAACCTCTCACACACAAAAACTTGGGAACTTGAGCAGAAAGGTAAGCACAAGACGCGGCTATTAATTTAGACTCTGGATCCAGGTACGGTTGTCTTTCAAAGCAGCTGTTCCTCTACGAGTACGAAGCGAATAAATAGCTAGAACACTCGAATGATGAAACACACCTCGGTACAGATTGATTATTCGGTTATCACGCACCCTGATTTTCCTAAATCTGTTATCAGCCAATCCTTTGTCAGCTTTTATATTATGCTCGTTTTGACCTTCAATGGAGAGGTCCTCAGGTTCAACAGATAGTAACTCTAAACTTGTGGCTCAGTGTACTTGTGCACAGGTTCACACAGGTGAAGTATTTATATCGTCTGACAGGAGGTAGAACTCAAGGAAGGCGGAACGTAGGAGGGCACGTAAGGCAAGGCAAAGACTGAGATTTACGAGGTAATCGCGATGGGAATGAGAAAGCGTTGTATTCGATACTCTATATCGAAACGGAAGAGAATCTTTGCGAGGTGATCGAGCGGACAACTCTGAGGAGGAGATGGAATCTTTTGTCTGAGGCCTGTCTCTGTAGAATTATTCTGGCAACAGTAGGGTGTAGCAGTCGTCTACAACTCCCTCCATAATAATAACTCTTATGATAAATTGATAATAACAGCAACAGTAGCAGAAGAAGAAGAAGAAAAAGAGGAAGAAGAAGAAGAACTACAAAAACAAAAACAAATATTATAACAATAACGATAACAATAATGAGCAAGTGTATACAGTAACGAATTATTATTATTATTATTATTATTATTATTATTTGGCTATACAATGTAATAAGAAAGATAATATTATAAAAACAATAATGATAGATAATTATAATAATAACAGCAACAACAACAGCAGCAATAATTAAGAAGAAGGCTGTTCACAAAAAACTCGCTTTTTTCTCACCTATTATGAAAAGAATATTTTTGAAAAACTGAAATAACGAAGCCCCCTCCTCCCCTTCCGGATCATCCACTCTACCCCCATCCCCTCTCCTCTCACTCTCTCATCCCCTCCCCTGATAGATGCTATTCTGACTATGAAAGACGAACGTGAAAACAGGGAGAAGGTGAGCAAAATGTAAATAATGAATTTGCAGCTGAATTGTGGTCCTTTTCGAACGTCATCGTGGCTTTAATAAATGTATTTTCTTTCATGGATGCGTCATTAACTCTATTGGTATCATACTGGAATTTGAATCCCTATTTCAAATCCTTTGTGGGATATTCTTCAACCTGAAATACCTTGATGGTTTTTCGAGGCTCTCCATTCACTTAGTTTGGGCCAGTCGGAAATGGACGTTAATTTGGGAGGTCCCCGTCTCTTATAATATAACACTGTTTGCAAAGGTGTTATACCATGCCATACCATGTCATACCATATCTCACGATATCATACCATACCATGCCATACCATTCCAACACAATACTAACACCATATCACACACACCCAATACCAATACCAATACTAATACCATACCCTACCACACCATACCATACCATACCATACCACACCATACAATACCATACCCCACCATACCACACCAAACCACACCATACCGTAACGTTCCGTAGCGTACCATATCCTGTAGAAACTGCTTTCCTGAATGCCTTAGCTTCATGCACCCCATTTTTAAAAAGGTGTTTACTCTCTCTCTCTCTCTCTCTCTCTCTCTCTCTCTCT